TCTGCTAGCGCATTTGCATAAAATGGTGGATCATTTTCCAAGAACTGGTTTGTTTTAACTCATTTCCGAGCAGAGGGGGACAAGCCATCTCTGGGCTGATTACTCCCCACAAAGCCCGCTCTGCACCGGCTTGCTGATTTCAAAGGCTGGTTCTCTGACATGCAAATGCGGTGTCAAGTGCAGCCAGGAGAATGGCCCACGTGCGCACAGCGGGGTTGCCGGCAGCCATTTCCTCTGAGCTTTGTGTGTCTGAAAGCGGGGCTGATGAGCTATTTGCTGAAGCTCAGCAAGGGTCTCCTCACGCAGGAACCAGCCCCGCCTCAGTGCCCAGCTCATCCGAGGGGCCAGTGTCTCGCGCGCACACACACACGGACAGTGCCGTCTCCTGGGCCTGGGCAGCCTCACCGACGGCTGAGAACCAAGGGAGGCAGTGAGGGTGAAGCCAACCCCCAAACCCGCCCCCCACCCCAATTGATGCTGAAGTACAGAGATCCTAGGCCAGGCCTCCGTGCGGCAGCAGGCCACCAAGGCCCTGTTGAGAAGTTCCCCGGGAAGCTCTGTGAGGCCCCTGCACGGGTCCGAACGGGTCCGACAGGAGAGGGGGCTGCTCACTTGGAGCTGGGATCCCGGGGGTGCCTAGGAGGGAGCCAACTCCTTCTCTGGGACACGATTGTTTTTCAATCCTGGTGCATATTCCAGAGAAAGTCTGCACTCCGACCCAGGACATGCACGCATGTGCGCGCACGCGCGCACACACTCAGATATACACACTCACATATACTCACATACACACTCACACTTAGATATGCACACACTCACATATTCTCACACACACTCAGATATGCTCACATACACACTCACACTCAAGTACACTCACACATGCACAAACACACTGACACATATACAACATTCACACACACACAGACATACACACACTCACCAGACACGCACACACGTAGTGGGTTCACACGGGGAAGCCTGGAGGTTGGCGTGGGCCTGGTGCTGTTGCCTTCGGTGGCACACAGGCTTGCTGTCAGTACAGCCCAGCCGGCGCCACCCGGCACCAGCAGCCCGGCCTCTGCCCTTGGTCTAGATCTCCTGCCTCCTGGCTATTTATTTAGAGCCGACAGCCGGGTGCTCCTTTTTGTCTCTCGTCTCTGTGCTCAGCTGTTTTCCGTCAGCCCTCCGCTCCCAAGCAGAGAAGCATCACGTCTAAGGCTCCCCCTTCCCTTCCCGCGTGGCCTCCAGTGAGGGGCGGGCCTTGCAGACCCCGGTGGACTCTGCAGCCCTTTCCCTTCGGGTGTGTTTTGCTGAATCTTGCATGAATGGTTCCCATGTGTCATTGGTCATTTTCAGTGCAAACAGCTGTGGCTCCTCTCCATGGATGATCCCCCCTCCCCTTCCCCCAGGTGTTCTCCTCGCTCCCCGTCCGTGGTCCGTGCTATTCCTGGGCCCCAGTGGGTTCCAAGCTCTGGCTGAGTTTCCGTCAGAGTATCGGACCCTGGGAGCCTGACCTTGGGGGCTATCCCCCCCCCACACACACACACACACACAGCCACAGCCTGAGAGCTTCAGGCCCTCACAGTGGGCTCTTCCCATGTCCCCCCTGCTGTGTCTCTGAGCCTCGCCCTCACATGCTCGAAGCTGCACTGTCTGGGGAGCCCCGAGGCCCCTCTCCTGTCCACCTTTGTGTCCTGGGCTCTTGACCCTGGGGCATGTGCACAGGGACCCGAGAACAGGTGCTGAAGATGTGTGTACCTATCAGGGATGCCTGGTCTCTCCCCCCGTCTCTAGGCTGAACTCACCTCTGTGCAGAGCAAGGGGGTAGGGGATGGGGTGGGGACCGTCTAGAAGCGTGGTCTCTGCATTCCTGCCCAGCAAGGTCCACCCTGCACTCACAGGCCCCAGGCCATTCTGATCCTCAGGACATAGAACTGGGTTTCTGAGACTGACAGTCTTTATGGACGTAGAAAGCCTCCTGTTTCTCCTGTGGAGCTCCTGGGGGTTTCGAACCACTGGTCTTGCGGTTCGTAGAAGCCAAGCTCATCACCCACCACGGGGGCTCCATCCAGCAACCTTGAATTTGAGGGTTCAACACCGTGTTCCAGTGTGGCTGGGCTCAGTGCAGCCCTCTCAGAGGCTTAGCCCTGCCCCATGTCCCTGCTGACTCAGCACCAACCTGGAACCCCGGAGCCGACCTCCGTTGCCCTCTCTTCCTGCAGCTGGTCTTGCTCACCTTCTGGGTCTCTCTCTCCAGTCCCCTCAGTGGCCAT